GCTCCCAATCCTGACATGTTGATATCAAAGTGACAGGCACCTCAGAAAAAGGCTCATGGGATGCAAGTTTTGAAGAGACAGCATCACAAGAAAAAGTGTTCTCATTTGTTTGTATCTCATCATCACCCAATTATCTCACGTAACTGGAGGTCTCTCCTTCAGGACAGGCCCATGCGGGGGATAGGGGTAGCTCCCAGTCTAGTTTAGTAGCAGATAAGTAAACGGCTATTTAGAGCTACAAGCCAAATATAATCTGTAATCATATGAGAGCAACAGAGCAATCATAATTGCTGAAGACTTCAGGAAGATGGGCACAGAACAAGTTTCAGCCACACGTAGTAACTTGCCTTTTTGCTCATTACAAGCAGACTTTCCTGTCTTACACCCACTTGTTCAGTTACATTTATTGGATTTCAAGGGATGAACACCCATATAAAGCTACGTCTTTGTAAGCATCTTCGTAAGCTACTTGTTCAAGTACGTATAATTAACTTCCCTTATTTCTGCTGTGATTCTTTGCATTTAAAGAGCTGCATTTCTAGTTTGTTGACAATCATCAACCAGTCACCCTCCCTAGGTGGTGGCCAAAGCTGGAGACATCCACCACTATTTGCTTTTCTTAAGTGCCTCAGTTCCTGGTTTTGGCTTTGCTGAAATATGAAAGAGAAGCTTCCGGACATCTACAGGAATCCCATTCTCTCTGTGGTATTGCTCAGTGCCTCTAACTTGCAGCAAACTGCACATCTTGCTAATTGTGTGATGCTGTTCCAGCATCTGTTTGTAACTCATGATTTATTTGGTATAAATCATCAATGGCTACAGCTAATTATAAACTTGCAGGTAAACCTGTGGCCATGCAGTCTCTGGCTGTGATTCTGACATTTCATTAGCTCAGACAGGATCAGGCTTGGTCACTACTTGGTCTTTGAAAGTGGCGCAGGAGTGGAGCTGTTGATGATTGCATTGTGGCATTATTCCCTCTGAGCCAATACAGTGTGTTTATAAAAAAAAAAAAAAGTCTGAGCAAACCTATTAACCTCAGGACCATCCGCTTCCTAAGTCTAGCAATGGCAACCATTACAACTTGGCATGGAATTCTGGAAGCCATACTAAGACTGAGCTTGATCTCAAACCCCATAGTATATCTTCAAAGTCAGTCTGACCTGTTTTCTTTTCAGAGCATTCATATACTTTGGAAGTTCTTCCAAACAAGCACTGGGTCACTGCCTAAAACATCATTAGTTTCAGAGGAAGCTTTTCATGTTCTGTAGTCGCAAATTCAAAAGCTGTCAATCCAGAATCTAAATTAATTTTAAAAGATGATATAATACAGATTTTTAAAAAAGGAGAGAGTTTATGCTTTGCACATGGATCACACGCTTGTGTGACTTATTAAATCTCAAAGATCAATAGCTGCTGCTCTTTCATGGGAGACTGAATCTCAGGGTCTAGGAGAGTTAAGTTACACTGAAAAGAATAAATTTAATCAGGTAGAAATAAAGATTCCCTAAGTTTCACTGTCCAAATCAAACAGATAAGACACAAAAGTACATACCTATGTGGAAAGAATTAGAGAACAGACAGAACAAAGGGCAGACTATGTAACATTGTCAGCATGTATGCATAATATTAAGCCACCCAAACACCACAACACTATTAGAGGAAAATGGGCAATAATTAGGGGTGGGGAAACTGGCTTGGTTAAAGAATTGATCTAATTTTTCACTCAGTATTTGACCCATGGATCTGTTTTGAAGTTTGAAAAACTCAATTTTTTTTTGGTTGCTTAAACTGTATTTTCACAAGCCTCAGCACTTCCAGGATTTGACCAGGATCAAAGGTAATTTTGCAACAATTTTGGCTCAGCCACAACCACGATCTGTAAATCTTTCAAAAAGGACTGATCTTGGCCAGTAAAGCTTTGGACGGGAATAGGCTGAACTTTGGGATGCTGAGGAGAATTGAACATTTTGATGGTTGCCCATTATCATTTGTGACCCAACAGTTGATTTACAATTTACCAGTAATCCCAGAAGAAAAGTTAAATCATTCTAAAAACTGTTAATGAGCTATTCTCTGTTCCCTAGATAACTCATGGAGAAATATGTAACGTTGCTTATGTTTACTTTCAGCAAATACAAGCTAAGGCTAAAGTCAAGGGTCTAGTTTTGGCCAGCTGGCATAGGCATAGCAACCGTAGTTTAATGAGTCACTACTGATTTATTAAAGGAGAGAGAAAAGAAAGCGACAAATCTACGGAAGAAAGGGGACCAGAGCAAAAGAAAGACTTCTGTTGCACTTCTCTTTTGTGGTTGGGCCCCTTCTTAGTTCAGTTGGTATCATTTTCTCATCTCTCTCAGGTACTCTTTTCCTCCCTTCATTCCCTTCTAAGGGGGATCATTCATAATATTGGAATTCACCAGCAAAGATTTAATTACTGGAAAATTGTGAATCTGATAGAGTGCGAGTTCTCTGAAAGAGGCTTCTTTCTTAGTATAGCATTTCACAACCAAGCAGGTTCTTTCTACATACACTCCACTATCATACCAACAGCCCAATACTGGAGATGAGATACTAGTCTAGACTTTACAAAAGCCATTTCTAAGTGCTAGGTTTTCACCAGCAAAGATTTAATTACTGGAAAATTGTGAATCTGATAGAGTGCGAGTTCTCTGAAAGAGGCTTCTTTCTTAGTATAGCATTTCACAACCAAGCAGGTTCTTTCTACATACACTCCACTATCATACCAACAGCCCAATACTGGAGATGAGATACTAGTCTAGACTTTACAAAAGCCATTTCTAAGTGCTAGGTTCAAAAGCTGGTTTCTGACTGGTTTACATTTTGGAGTTGTTTTTAAACACCGACCACTTTCATCATAGGTTAAGCAACCAAAAATCTGATTCCATTAAGCATAGATGATGTCTGTTTTATTTCAGAGCAATTACTAGTGTTTACAGTCACCTGTGACATAAAACTGCTTTTAAATCAATACAACCACTGTACTAAAACTAAACAAGATGACTACACAGGTCACTTTGATTATTAATTGGCTGTGACAAGTCCTGCTACAAGTCCTTTGTTTTCTCCTGTGGCACCAGAAGTCAAAAGTAGATGGTGTTAGTTATTGCTGATGTCAGAAACTATTGAGGGGAAAATCATAAAACTTAATTACCAGTTTAGGAAGGAAGGAGGGTAACTTTTGTTTAAATAATAGAATGCTCTTTCAGGAGAAGCATCAGATTAAAAACTAAAAGAGAAAAAAAGCCAGAAAAGATGACTAAATTAACAGAGGACGTGGATGAGAAGTGAAGAACATAAGACAGTGGCCAAAGCCAGGTGCTCTAGAGGGGAAGAAGAGAACAAGCAATCAAGTGATCTATCCCGTCACTCATTCCCAGCTTCTAGCAAAGGGACACCATTCCTCCCCGTGCTATCTAATAGCCATTGATGAGAAAACAGAAGAAAGGGGAGACACATCTATATATTCCTTATTTGTTGAAATTAAAACCAGAGAATCAGAAACATTGCGATGCTGCACGAAGTGGTATTGCCCTCCCTTCTCCCCTTGATGGAGTTTGTGCTGTGATCGGCAGGTGGACACACCTCTCAGTAAGTATTGAGCCAACAGCTCAGTTTAAGGCTAGAGAGCAGTGTGTGCTGCAGTTTTCTGGATGTGACACAGAACAATGATTTTATCACACGTGGCCATTAAACAATGGCTGAAATATGGTAGTAGAGTTCTTCTGCTGGCCTGCCTGCCAGGAGGAGTTAATACTTGGATTTAGGTTGCTGAAGCTTAGCTGGATCAATGTAGTTCATTAATCCCAAACTGATTACTTGGGAGGTCAGGGTGACTTTATAGAGGATACAAGGCAAGCTCTGGAGAAGAAACCCTATAACCAAGTGCAGAGGAGTGTACGTTGAAGCTTATAACATGTTAGTGTTTCAAAGCCAACAGTAAAGCCAGTCTTCAGGAAGTGAATGAGTTTGCACACTCCTTAGTTCCATGGCTTATTTCCTGAGAATAGTCGTGTGCGGAGCTGTGCACACATGAAAGTTAATTTGGAAAAAGGAAGGGTATAAATTCAAAGTGTAACAGCTATTCACTCCGGCTGTGTCTACACTGGCATGAATTTCCGGAAATGCTTAAAACTGAATACTATTCTGTTTTCAGTTTTTCCGGAAAAGGAGCATCTACACTGGCAGGCTGCTTTTCCGGAAAGGCCCTTTTTCCGGAAAAGAGTCTGTGGCCAATGTAGACACGCTTTTCTGGAAAAGAGCCCCGATCGCCATTTTCGCGATCGGGGCTTTTTTCCAGAAAAGACTACTGGGCTGTCTACACTGGCCTTTTTCCGGAACAGTGTTCCGGAATAAGGACTTATGCCCGAGCGGGAGCAGAATAGTTTTTCTGGAATAGCGGCTGATTTTGTACAGTAGAGCATCGTTGCTTTTCCGGAAATTCAAGGGCCAGTGTAGACAGCTTGCAGCTTATTCCGGAAAAGCGGCTGATTTTTCCGGAATAAGTGGCCCAGTGTAGACACAGCCTCCATGTGTAGATGCTTTTATTTCAGAATAAATAGATTAACCTACTTCCAAAGGGATGGAAACTAGTTTGGAAGATGGCATTTATTCCAGATAAGAGCATCCACCTGGAGCCACTCTGGAATTAACTCCATGTCCTTGCCAAATTCAAACGCAGGCAACTATGCTGGCCCTTCATATTTACCCTGCTGTTTGAATTGGAAAAGTGATTTTTCCATTTCAAGCCTAACTTATTGTGTAATGATGCTGGATGCTGTTCAACCCTTGTACATAAGGATCATCTCATTCATTATTGAAATATTAGTGCTGGCATAAAAATTTCTAGACTGAAACCTGCTTTAAGCATCTACTCATAGAAGCTGATAATTCAGAGCGGTAACAAGAGAAGTCACCGCATAAAGGTGGAGAAATACAAGTGTACTCAGTAAAGGGTTGTTTTTTTTTTTTTTTTTTAGGATGGCCTCTGAAGACAATACACATTACTTAAAGGAAGTGGTTGTCCGTGCAGTTCCATTGTGTTTCATTTTGCACTCAGCCCTTCTGGAGAAGGGGTGTTATATAAGGCAAGATCATTACCATTTGTTCTAACTGAAATAACAGCATTTGAGGTCAGTTTTATTTGCATCAATAAATGAAGGTCACTTCTATGAAAGTCAGTCTCTGCTTCAGCTTTCTGCCAATTCAGAAAGTTACTTGGCCTCCTTTCCCTTTTCTATTCCTTATCACAAAATGAATTAACTTAGTTGTTAACTTTACACTCTATGTTCACACTGTTGTACAGATAATCTGAACCAATCAAAATGCAAGTCCTATGACATGGACAACAATGGAGAGGGTTTTCTTGGAAAGCAGTACATCTATTTTCCCCTGAAACATTAATGAAGGGGAAAAAAATCAACCCTAGGTTTATCCTGATTTTTTCCCCCCAATCATAACATCTCTAACTCACCTGTGACAGTATTCGTAATTGTAGCCTGTGCTTGCTTTCCATGAGCACTTGAATCAGACTTCTATTCAGTTATCCAGAAGATGACTAAGAGAGTCTATTCGTACCTGCATAGGGAGAAGATCTCTGATAGTTGAGAGCTCTTTGCTCTAGTGGGAAAATGCAGAATGAGAGCCCAATGGCTGAAATCTTAAGTTAGACAGCGCAACTGATGAAGTGGGTTTTACCCACAAAAGCTCATGCTAGAATAGATGTTAGTCTCTAAGGGAATATCTACACTACAGCGCTAATTCGAACTAACTTAGTTCGAATTAGTTAATTCAAACTAACGCATCCAGACTAAAAAATTAGTTCGAATTAGCGTTTTGCTAATTCAAACTAGCATGTCCACACAGAGTGGACCCTGAACCGGGGTTAAGGATGGCCGGAAGCAGTGCCGGCAGGGCATCAGATGACGACTTAAAGCGTGGAGCTGCTGTCTCAGGCTAGCCGAGGGCTGTGCTTAAAGGGACCGGACCCCTACCCCGGACAGACAATTCTCAGGGGTGCCCCGCTTGCAAAGCAGTCCTGGCTTGGATTGCCCAGAGTACCCACACTGGGCACATCACAGCACTCAGCCATCAGACCGGCTGCACTTGCCGCAGGCAGCCGTCTGGGGAGAGGGGGCAATTGGGGGGCTGCAGGAGAGGTTCCACCCCCAGAAGCCCACAGAGCCAGCCCAGTCCTCCCCATCGGGGGCTCGTACCCCATTCCTCCCTCACCTCCTTCCACTTACTCCTCCCTAGCCCCCCTTCCTGATGTACAAAATAAAGGACAATTGTGTTCAAAAATAGAATCTCTCTTTATTGAACAAAACTGGGGGAGACTTGGAAAAGGAGGTGGGAGAGGGGAAGAGAGAGAGTGGGAGAGGGGAGGGCAACTACAATGATGAGGGGTTTGGAACAGGTTCCATATGAAGAGAGGCTAAAGAGACTGGGACTTTTCAGCTTAGAAAAGAGGAGACTGAGGGGGGATATGATAGAGGTCTATAAAAGCACAAGTGGGGTAGAGAGGGTGCATACAGAAAAGTTCTTCATTAGTTCCCATAATAGAAGGACTAGAGGACACCAAAGGAAAGG